AGGAATCCATGTCTGTGACACCATTGTTTATGGTACCACTCCTGATTTCCTATTTGCTAAGTATTATTTTGTATTTGTGCTTGTATCTTATTTCCATTTTTCTATCAATTTTTCCATCAGTAAGATTTAACTAGCAGTGATTTTCCAGACTTCCAATAACAATTTTATTTTCAAATTGCTTCCCTTGCTATACTAAAACAAATAGCTGCTATTATCCTACAGTCTTCATTTGCCTCTTACTTATTATGTGCAGCAACAAAGGAGATATTTCTTTTATTATTTGTAACTTCTGGACATTCTTGCCTTTACATATTCTTGTTCAGAGCAGAATATGTATACTACTATGGAAGCGGATATCAAGTTCCAAAGGACTCCTATTACAACATATTTTAAGAAATGCTGAATTAATATATCAAAAAATACATATACAAGTCCACATACAAATGAATGTTTCTCTCCCCCATCTTTGCCTTATCTCATATGCACAGTAAAACAATCTCTTTTCTAATTTAGATTTTCAGTAGTATAATTTATGAGTTCAAGCTTCAGCACCCATTGCACAGATTCTATCATCTTCTTTTCCCTCCACTGTTTTTACCCAGACCATTCTAATTACTGAAATCACTAGAAACATTAGTGCATCATTAACACAGGCTTATATACAAAATATTGAAGCTGAAAAGGTAGGAAACTTTCCAACATGAAGGGTTTCTGGAACATCAGGAAAACAATTCCCAGACACATCCACCTTTTTATGTGCATCAATGAAATCTTCATATGATGCACTGGAGCATTTCAAATTTTTTTTTTTAAATCAGTTTTTCACAGAGCTCCAATTTTCAAGCAGAACTATGACTTAAAGCTATAATGAGAGCTAGTTCCATATGAACACCATAAGCACAGTCTAGTGTGTATTCTGTTGTAATTAAGAGCAGTGATTCAATACCTATTGCTACTGGCTGGGTATCATAGCAACCTTGTGTCACTGAATACTGCTGGAAAACTGTTCAGCACTAGCAAGACCATGCTTCAGGAAAATCTACAATGGCACTACAGATTGTCAACATCTGTGGGGGTTGTTACAGGGAGAGCAACAAAGAAACCTGCTTTAAAAAACCCTATACTTAGAAAATTGACAGGGATTCTACAGTAGCAGTACAAAAAGAAAAAAAAAACAACAGAGGAAGGAAAGAACATTTTTTTTTGTCATTAGTTACACAACTTATGCACCCACATCCTAACATCTACCCCTATAAATAGAGTTGCAATAATGCTGCATCATCACATCGTTTATGTATATCCACAAAGCACTGCCTTTTACTTTTTAACTAAACACAAGCATCATTCACCACCAACATTAATCTGGAAAGAAAACAGCCTTACTTTCAAAATAATATTTAAACTTTCACAAATGAACTCTAGATAGTCTTGTATAAATCTGAAAAAAAAAAAAAGAGAAAACAGGTTACTATGAACAAGAACCCAATATTGATTTTTCTGCGGTGCAGTAAAGCATCTCCATTCTATTTGGCTGCTGTCAAAGCCACTCTTTAACAGCTGGAGTCAAATTGCACTATTTACAGCAAGAGCCCTTGTCAAGTGGACCATAAGTATTCTAACAATACACTATTCAAATGGCACTTTGCCACACAAATTGCTGACTTGATGAATACCCTATGTCAATGACTAAGGCCAATATAAAAGTTTCATTTTTATGAGAGGTTTTACATTCACATATTAAGTAAAGCTTTCTTGAAGAACTATTAAGCTATATATTTTGGGTCTTTTGACATTAAAAATAATTAAAATCTGTTTAAATATATCAAGGGGATTTGACAACATTAATATGGATCTTGTGTTAACTGCATTTGTCACAGTCATCTGTTATTGGTACTCCCACTGGCACGTGCAGCACAATAAAAGAATTAAAATGGTCAAAACACCATGAAATCAAAACATTCTGCTTTTGTATCCGTGATTTACATGACGGCAAAAGTTTTGAAAGAAAGCCTTTGGAGCTGGACTACTATGTAAGGATATATATAGTTTTTAGGATGGAGGAAAGACAGACCATTATTTTGAAAACTTTCTTTCATCTTAAATATAATATGAAGGATAAAACAATTTAATAATGGCAAGAATAAATGCTGAATTTTACTTGCAATCTTCATGTGGATCACTCCTTGTACAAAAGGATCACTCTCAATTACAATACCAACAGGACAGAATAGCTACCCGCTCATTTTTCCTGTCACATAAATCTTCTGAAATTGAGTTCCTTAATATATGCTAAAATTGATGATGGGGTTTTTTGATAGAAAAGTTATTAACAATTTAGTATGTTGTTAAATTTCTAATACACAATTTGCTAAGGAAGGAAATTGATAATGAAACACTCATTCTATATTAAAACCCTCTAATAATTGTGATATTTTTACATGTGTAAGAATTATATGTTTTAATTAATAGGGGATGGAATGTTGAAGTCTGATAACCACAGTCCTCTCACTAATTAAATGGGATCTGAATTTCTAGAATATTTCAAGATGCTAAAATACAATGATACAAAAGAGTCAAGAGTAATTTTTTGAAAAACCTAACAAAAATTTTTCTGCACAAAACTTAAGAAAAACAGCAGACTTCATAACAAGCCATCAATTTAGCAATAACAGAACAGTGTTAAAAAAGCTGCAGAGTTCCACACTCCTTTTGTGTAGCCAGCACTGGGCTTCTGTAATAGCATTAAGGGGACTTCCATTGTTATGTTTTTCCCAGGTTTAGCTACACTAAATACATTTAGGCTCCAACTTCTCCCACACCAATCTACAGAACCCTCTCCAATGCAGATGCAAGTGGGAAGAAGTTCTAAATGTACTGGACAGCACATGTTTGATGGATGAAAAGTGTTTTCCCAAATACAGAATTTAATTTATTATGAATTTAGACAAACCTAACAAGTCTGTAGTGACAAAAAAGAACATGAAACTAACAAAAGAAATTTTGACATAAGAAGTCTAAGAGACATCAGTAGTATTCTTAATAAGTTTACATTTGGACGAGAATATTAGTGAGAAATATTTAAACATGACAATAGAATATTATTTTGATAAATCAGAGTTGACAAGATGTATATCAAATCGAGCACTACAAATCTCATGCTACATTTCCATGGTTTCTTGTTGTGATATTTCTGCCAATTTAAGATCATAATTCCCAAAGCATGTTAAACTCCACATTTTAAAGTTTACAAAAAACTCTTCCCATATTCCATAATCAGCACATTTTCTTTCCTCCCACCTTGTTAAATCCATGCAATTTTCAATTTAATAGACATACCTAAAACTACTTACCAAAGAACTACCAAAACTTTTTTTCTTTTGTTCCCATTTAAGAAGGCAAGAAGAAACTATTCCTTTTAACAAACTAACAGGGAGATCAGATTCTGTGTCAATGGCCAACTAGTGCACCATCTGCCCCACAACATGCTCAGCAGGATTACGCGCTAATAAGACTTTTCAGAAAATGGGATCAAAAAGAACTTTAGAAATCAGACTAAGGTTAGTAAAAGGTCAAAGAAAAATATTAAGAGTTAAACTACAATCATTAGAAACTCAATGTTATACGTAAATTTGAAAATACAATGAAGAAAAGAACATAAAATTCTGAGTGAGGACTTGGATCAAGCTGTACTTTATCAGTTTTGTAATACCTGCTACTTCATCTCCTATAATTAATAAAGCCACAAAAAAGGCCAGAGACCATTCTGAAGGTTGGTTCCATGTGTGATTGAGGGAAAGCATTTTTTACTCTCAATACTTGTGGTAAAATACCTTCCATGTACATTGAGGGTTGAGGAATAGCAGACATGACTTCTGTTTATTGCAGAGAACAGAATTCCCAAAACCTATTAATTAACAAGTGGTAAGCAAGAACAAACTACATAAAAGCCCTATCCTTAAGATATACCTTAATCAAGACTTCAGTGAATATATTATCTCCTGGTGCATAAATAGGGTTTAATAAAATAGGTTTGTACCATTTTTTCCCTACATGAAAAAGGCAATATCCATCTCATTGAATTTGAGATAGTATTAGAGACAGTTATAAAAACCAGTTTTAACATTAGCAAATACTATATTAATTTTTAAATATCCACAAATAACTGATAAAAGTATAGATTTATCTAGGCCACAAGAAAATACAATGACTATTACATTTTTAATCTTCTCATTATTTGATACCTCAATACTCATTTTCTCAGTTTTAACATCACACTAACGCTACTTTAAGCATATTATTTCCTTCTATTACTTATTCAAAACAAAAAGAAGGAGCACAGCTTCTCCATCAGTCTCAATTAGTTGGTTTAATGATTTTGGTAGGAAGATATTTCTACATAAAGAATCTCTCCCTGGCCAAATCTTTCCTGAAGATGATCATACTTTCTTGCAGTGCAGTACCTCACATGAGTACTGATTTAATCACACCAATAAAAAAAATAAGGCACTTGCAGTGTATTCTGTGATGATGCTAAGAGAAAACACACACCCAATAAAAACTATCTCTGAATGACAAGAGGGATCTTTGGTGTCATTAGAAGAGCAATAAGAGAAAGACCAACAGCATGGGATCTCTGTGTGCTTGTTCTCAAGACACACACATTTGAATGGGTGTAAGGTGTATTCAGCTGCTCTCAGGGTACTACTGACAGGTGCAGTCACAAGCTAGAGGCATGAGGAAACAGGATCTAACTACAGGTAATAAGGGCTGAGAAAATCCTTTTGAGATTAGCTACTAATGACCTTGCATAAGGCACTCTGCCAATTTTCCTCATTTATCTATGAAATGGGGTTGAAGGCATAAAAACTGGGCCAGCCAGAAGAAGCCTTTATAAACTTAAAACCAAGCAACTATCCCATTTACTCATCAGTGGGTGACAGAGCAAAGAATCGGAATCACCACTAATTGCTCTGCAAAAATGCTCTACTCTTCACTCTTACCTTATCTGAAGACTTCTCTGTATGAGCAGGATAAGGGCCTATGCCATGCTTGTATGAGCTGCAGTGTTTGTACCCAGAATTCTTGTTTCGTTTTGACTCCTGAGACACGGGAAGTAGAGCACCTGCCACTAAGTATTCTGAATCTTCAATAGCAGTAAGAATTGCTCTTGCTGTGTCACCAGTTTCATGCCGTTCCAATGTGCCTAGAGAAACACAACAGAAGTTGTAACTTTTTCAATGAGCTGTACTATCACATCTCTATCATAGTATTAATATAGTACACAACATGTGAGCAAAAAAAAAAATCACAAAATATTTACAGATGAAGCAAATTACTCCTTTTTAAAATTAAAAATGTATTATACACTATTACTATAAAAAAATAAAGCTTAATTTCTAAAGAAATCACTACAGCAAGGAACTTTGTCTCAGACCACAAGCAGCTCCAGATATTTTGTATGTTTGGAGTGAGATGCGGTTTTCAAAGGGAGCCAAAAATATTCCTAAAAATATCACCTGCCTTAACAATTCAAAACAGAAATTTGTTTTCTCCTCACAAACCCCTCACAGAGCGTCTATGTCATTAACAGTGTAAACAACAACACATTTATGTAATATTTTAGTGCTGTCCTCTAGTGTTCTGGATTACAAATAGCAAGAGATAGCTCAATTTTTTTTCATTCCATTCCTAAAAGTTGTCAGACATAAAGAAGGTTTATACATGAATATCTATGTGGCTTAGTCATCAGGGATATATGAATGTGATGTTTCATAGACTATTTCATCACTTGTGTGACTTTCTGAAATCTAAATCCTCTAGATGTTATACCCAGTTATATTTAGTAAAAATTTTATCCAGTAATTTTAGTAATACTATTTCAACTATAAGTAACATTAAAAATATCAAAACTGAGCTTAAATGTACTTGAAATGAGCTACTATTATATACTACACATTTCCTATAGGAATTAAAAGAAATTGCTGAAATAGCATGTTTCCTATAAATATCAGAGATAAAATACATCTGAAGGGTTTTTCAAGTATTAAATATCAGCTATAAAATGAAATGTTTTTCCCTTAAGTTTGAATTCTTTCTACCCTCAAGTAATACAACATGAATTTCCCCTTTCACTGCTACAAGAAAAAAAATGTGTAACATTGAAGTTCTATCAGTAACACCTGCTAAAAATATTGGACTGGGATTGAGGGATCTCATACAATAAGTGTTTGTGTGTATATGTGTGTATAAAATCTCTTTATCTGAAATTATTTCTCTGAAACTCATCCATTTCTTTTCACTGCAGTATCACCTCTACTACTCATACAACAAAGTCGCTGAATTCAGAGCAGAAGAAAACAGGGCACCTGATTCTCTGTCCCCTATAAAAATCAGTTGGACACCACAGATGACTGTAATATTACACTGAAAGAAATAAGAATCAGCCCCAATTGTTTTTAATGTGCCATTTTCTTAATTCTTCCCCAGGACTTGAAGCCAGTGCCAGGGACCACTACAGAGCAGGATAGTTTCTGAAAGGAAAGTAAGTTCCCCAAAAGGTCTTCATAGTTAGACTGTCTACAGAGCTCCCAGCACTGACATTTCAGGAACAAAAGACCATGTATACAGATGCCTACAAAGGATGATTGTACAGTTCACGTTGGACATGAGCAAATATTCTTAAAAGCACTACAGCACTGGCAAAGTGAAGTTCGGAAATAATACAGTCACGCAGCTAATATTATTTTGGCTTAATATATGTAAAGTAGCCTTTCAAACTTCAAACATGCCACAGAATTATGTGAATTATTCAGAGCACAACATGAGCAAAATTCAAATAAATAATTGTTCTTCCTACTTTTAAGTGAAGGGGCTGAAGCTTTCTCTACCCCTTCTGTGGCAAGTCCACTACACAATGAATATACACACATACATCAAACCTTGTTTTCTCTAACACTTTTTTCAGTGCAATTCACTGCTGGAGTCCTCAATATTATCATAATATCTCTGTGAAATTACCAGGTATCATGTTCCTTTTAAGAAAAATAAGTTTTTAATAAATCCAAGACTTCTGGGGGCATGGTATGAAATTTCAACAACCTGACCATGCATAGCCTTTGGTATTACACAGAACTTCCAAACATATCTCGGTAGCACCAGATGCAAATGAGTGCTTCAGCAGCAGTCATTCCCTAGAGTCAGACCATTCTATGGGATAATCTAGTGGATATAAAATAGAATATAATTTAGTGAAGGCTATCATACTACAGACAGACTTGGGTTATTTTCCGTATATCAGAGGTTTTTTTTCCGGCAACAGCTTCAGAGGCAATTTTTCAACTTCTGGTTGAAGAAAAAAATTTCAGTTGACAGAAAAAGAAACATACCAGAAGTAGTAAAAGGTACAGAAAATCTGACAGCAGAATTTAACCTTGGGAGGCAATGGCCTGAATGGAATATACAGGTATTCTCAATGTACATTAACGCAAAGTCATGTTTTATGAATTTAACACACATTTTCTTTTAAACAGATGACAGATATGCTCCTATATATTATAGACTTACCAGATGCAAAGTGAGAAGCCACCAACAGGTTGTTGGGTTACTGAACATTTCTGCTGCTAACAAACTTCTCTAAGTGCATCAGAACAATACCATTGCAAGCATACCATTTTCAAGTAGTTAGGAGAAGAGAAAATTAACATATTATCAACTGAAAAAAGCCATTTTGGGTTTACACTAATCAAGAAACAGGGCTTGGCTTCTCACATAGAGAACCTACAATTGTTTTGGTTTTTAATTTTCATTTTTAATACCCATTTATAGAGAGGAGCATTAAATAGAAAATGCCCTGGACAACAAGCTTATTTTCTTATTAGCAACATTATGACAACCTAAAATCAATTGGAAAAACTCCTGTTACATCTTTAAATTATTTATATATCTCTCATAACAGCTATCTCAAATCCTGTTTAAGTAGCACCTTCCAGAAGTTGTCTAGTTTCTTAAAAAATCCTTTCTTGCATATACTACCCAATCCTGTTCCCTATTATTAACATTTGTATGTACAGGTTTGTGTGCACAGCTGGAGCTGCAACAAAATGGCATGAAGTGCATAGGAAAATGTGATCGTGAAAGTGTTATTTATATTATATGCTTAACTTTACTCTTTTGACTAGCCCAAAACACTAATTTACAGAGCAAATAGTTGGCAGAGACAAAATGAAGAAAGACTTATATTCTGTGATGCCTGAATACACCTGAGAACAAACAGAGGATGAGGGGAAAGATTTAGAAACCTGTATATATGACAAAGACTTTCTGACCGCTGCAAACAGGCAAAATAATACTGAGGCAGGGTGCTTATTGTTCAGAAACTGTCATTTTTTAGGAATATGCTAAAAGGAAAATAAAAAAGAGTAAGAAAAGACAAAGCTTGTAGATGAGAGTACAGGAAGAAGGGCAGAAATAAAATTCATTCTCAAACCTGAAGTATTTAAATATGAATAAGCCTAAAGGATTTCGATTGAAGAGCATAAAAAAAACAATGGATGAACAGGAAGAGATAGGGGTGTCTATACAGCAGCAACACCACTGCTATGACCCCCTACTATACATACAAAATACAGGAAAAGAAAGTCTTTATCTCTCTAAAGCTGTGACCATGGCAACCAAGTCTCAGGAACAGACAAGAGTGGAGTATTTCACTCTCCTGGGCAGCTCTGGACCACCAGATGTGACTGGCTAGAGACTGCTACAACATCTTATTCTTCCTGTGGACCAAGTACTACAAATTGTGTCTCTTGGTGTTAGTGCTGTCCATACAGTTCTCTGGGTTCTGCATACTGAAGGAGGCATTTTTACTGAAGAGGTCACGCAAATCTTCCTGCCTCAAGACGAGGCATTCTCTGCCATCACATGACCTGTCATATCATCAGGCTCCAGTGCTCTCTGTGTTTGCTGTCACAGCTAAAGTATCGAAAATCCTCAATATTGCACTGCTGCTGTGACCTAGTAACTCAGATGACTCTTACAGCATACCAGTGCTCTGTGCATGAGAAATTATTTCAGAATTGATTTTATTTAAAAACAGCATGTGGTCAAGAACAAATCCTTTTCTTTACTAGTAAGTCAAAACAGAAAACCCAGCATTCAAAACAAATACTATCTGTAACATTAGTTGGTTTATTTTCTGTTAAGATCATTTGTTCTATAAATACCTATTTCACCTGAAAAAACCCCTCCCAACACATTTCCTTCTGTGATGGTAGAGTAAGGCATATAGAAATTTTATGTTCCTTGCTACAAAAATGCTTGAATTTTACAATACTACAATCTTGCTCCAAGACAGTAGGCAAGCACTTTGCTTGAAAAATTTCTCCTTATTGCTAGTGCTATCATTCCAATATCAATTGGCTCAAAAGAGATGGAATAAACATTGCATTAAGAATATATATTCCAAGCAATACCAAGACAAAAGTAAATGCCATCTAGCAAATAGAAATGGGATAGATTACACAAAATCCAGCCAAATAATCTAATATTTTTAAAGCTATTTTACTTTAAGGATGAGATTAAAAATGGAGATGTGTCTTTGCAGATCTTCCTTCCTCATTTTTGCATTTGGAAGATTTCTGATACGTCCAGCTCTGTGTTATTGACATTTTTCTGAATACACACTTTCAGAAGAGCATTAGCAAACTACTGTCAATATCCTTCAGCTGAAAAAAAGCAATGAACATCAACACAAAGAAAACCACTGATATATAATGTTAGTTTATATATGTGGTAAAAAGAGCAATTCCCCAATACAGCCAGTCCTTATGTCAGGATTTCTGATGCAGGCACAAGACCCCAAAAGTAAGGACACTCCCCTGTTCTCTCCCTGAGTCCATCTGAACTATTCCAAACAGTAAAGGACAATGATACTTTGAATGAATTGTTAAGACACAATATATGTGCTAAACTGGGCTGAATGGAAAAAGTTTCCAACTCTGAAATTGGAAGGTATGCAAGTCGTTTCCATCTACTCCTTTTTCACAAACAAAGATGGAATGAGAATCTGTCCCTTAGTGTCTGGAATGAAACCCCTCCCTGGCAGGCACTCTTCTGACTGCACTGGATCATAGCAGTTTTCAGTTACACTTCTTATATATACACACACATATAAAATCTTATTTATTAATAATAAGAATGAAGATAAAT